TGTGTGTGTGTGTGTGTGTGTGTGTAAGTAAATGTTATTCGAGAATATGGATGTTAAAACATCTGTAACCAAATGACATGCTGTATGTGATGATATTTTTTGTTGTTGTTTTCTTCGTTTTTTTAAATTGTGTATGTGTTGTCTATGTAATAAAAATCTATATTAAAAAAAAAGAAAACCTCAGACCCTGCCTCTATTTTACTTACACACACACACACACACACACACGGAGGAAGAGGAAATGTCATTACTATATCTATATCCATATCAGTTTTCATCTTTGATGTAAATTATTGAACCAATTCAATCTTTGTGGGTCTACTTCATGGCTGAAAAAAATGTCTGCTTGCTATGTTAGAAGTGTACCAACACGCAAACAGTCTAGAACCGTGATTGTGAACCTACGTCTTCCCCTGCACCCCCTTTTTTGTCCCAGGAGGCTTCAGGGAGGCGTGCTAGGCCCAAAACAGGGTGCAAGGGAGTCACATGCACATGTAGGGGGGGCGGGAGCATGGGGGTGATCACACATGCATTCACAGGGGGGGCGGGGAGAGCACAGGGGTGTCGCACGCAGAATGCATTACAGGTGTGGAAAAATGCGCACGCGCTATCACACATGCTTGTGCACTTTTGGCACATGACAACAAAAAGGTAGGCCATCACTGGTCTATAATATATTAATCCATTCACTTAGAAATTGACAGGTCCAATTTTGTGTATTTCCTTTCATTAAACTACATGAAAAATTATATGGTACTATACTAAAGCCCTTGGCTTGCAGAGGAATGTTCAACACTGTTTGTTTATGTGATGTGAAACCCAGTTTTTTTTCCCCACTCTTAAAATATTTAAGTTGATGCTCATGATTTCTCTCAATTACCACATATTCACCACATTCTTGTTTGAAACTATAAGAATACTTGAAGGCCAACGCCCATGGGGAACAGGGTTTCAAAAATGCATAATTTGTTGAAATGCAAGAAGAAAGAACTCATAAAACCAATATCGCATAAAAATAAAAGGCCAGGATTTACGCATAATTTACAAAATCAAGCATCTGAAACAGTCCTGAGCATTCAATCCTTTTTCCATACTGCAGACATGAAAACATTGGTTGGTACTCCCCCCGCCCCCAAATATAAAAAAAAGATACACACCTGACATCCACTTTTCGCCTAAATGAAAGCATGAGGAACAGGATAAAAGAGAATGAAAGACAAACAGACAGAGCTTAGATTAGATTAGAAGAAGTGCAGTTTTAGAACAGTATTGAAAGTGAGAACAGTAGATTTGACAGATCATTTCCCTTTTCTTTAGTAGAAACAAGGCATTTCATAGTGAACATCTCCTTCCCACCCACTGTCAATGCAGATCTAGAAAGTTTAGAAATTGCTTCCTTCAGGAAGAAACAGCTTCATCCCAATTTCACAGTGGCAATCCAGAAAAAACAACAACAGAAAAGTAGGAGAACATAACATACGTGTGAAACAATGTTTATGTGCAACTGGCTGCCAATATTGATGGGCTTTCTATACAGGATGATCTGTCTCCATGGTACAAAGTGGAACTTTGTTTATATTGGTTTTTTTTTTACAGTAGAGCCATGACATCTCAAAATAGGAGAGGATGCTTCAACTGAGGTACAAGAATTCAATATATTTGTTTAATAACGGAAAACATGGAGGATTTATTGGCAACTCTACAGATGTCCTGAAGGGAGGGGCAATGCATTATGTCCAAGATTTTAAAGTGGTTGTACTTCTTGTGAAACGAGCTATAATTTTTCATGGAATAGGTTTATTCTATATTAATTAGGGATGCAGTGGCTCAGTGGCTAAGACCCTGAGCTTGTCGATCAGAAAGGTTGGCAGTTCGAATCTCTAGTGTCGCATAACGGAGTGAGTTCCCGTTACTTGTCCCAGCTTCTGCCAACCTAGCAGTTCGAAAGCATGTAAAAATGCAAGTAGAAAAATAGGAACCACCTTTGGTGGGAAGGTAACAGCGTTCCGTGCGCCTTCAGCATTTTAGTCATGCCAGCCACACAACCATGGATCTTCGGACAGCGCTGGCTCTTCAGCTTTGAAACCAAAATGAGCACTGTCCCTTAGAGGCGGGAATGACTAGCACATGTGTGCGAGGGGAATTTTTACCTATATTGTTTCACTTAGCCTGATTCAGGTCTGGAGATTATAGTTGTTGAAGCCTAAACTGAGCTGTTTTATGGTTATTGTAAGACTGTCTGAGACTCTTCTCATGCAGATCTTAATGACGCATCTAGCATTTAGTTTCTGTCATTCTTTCTCTAGCTGGATATTACAGTTGTAGCCAAAGGAAGAAACAATTGTTTCCTGGGCCAGCTAAAAGACATAAAATTTGAGTCCACATCAGTGGTGAGATTCAGCCAGTTTGCACCACATCGGGATAACTGGTTGTTAATTTTCTCAGTAGTTTGGTGAATTAGTTGTTGGAAGAAATAATTAGGGCAGAGAACCGGTTGTTAAATTATTTGAATCCCACCAGTCCAGGTTCAGACTGGTAGGAGGAAGGCCATGTCTCTCACCTTGAAGCAGACTTCTGATAACCACTGCTTTCTTTCTCACCTTTGCGAATGAGAGGTAAAGCTCCCTTTTAGTCCTTAGTCTCAATATATCATTCAGGCCCTCTCTAAATACTTTGCCGCTACTGAATGGACCTGTTAGAAGGACTGACTTGGATTCTGAGTCCATGTTGCAGTGTCTCAAAGAAAGTTTTCCCCTTATGGCCATATTGCCTCTGGCTGAAAAATGGATTTTATCCAGGTTAGTCTCCATAATGAAAGAGACAGACCCGACTATGTGTCCCTATTTATGACCTCTGCAGGGTAAGCAAGATTAAGAGTTTGGTCCATAATATAGAGGCCATAAACTAGATTAATGCTATAGCTCATCTGGCCTTACAAAATCTAAATTTTATGTCCCCCCCCCTGGATTCTACACATCTTTATTTACATTTATTTACATGTAATGAATCATTTATTTATCATATTTCCTAACCATCCATCTCCTTCAAAGTTGGCCCCGAGGTCAGAGTTGCCATAGGAATGACATCACTATGGGAGTGTTAGGAAAGTCTATAACCATCTATGGGAAGTTATGGAACATGCCTTCTTTTTTTCATTTCACTTTCACCAGGAGACCTCCATCAACCCATGGATGGTGTCTGTTTTGCAGCCACCCTTGATGGAGGTCTCCTGGTGAAAGTGAAATGAAGAAAGAAGGCATGTGAATGTACCATTGGAGGCCTCTCTCCACCCTCATTTCCAGTGCAAGGGAATTCCTGATTTAATCCACAAGCTGTTGAACATGAAGTTTGCCATGTAGTTTGTAACATGGAGCCTTAAAGAAAACATGTAAATAAAAATGGCACAGAAAGGAAGTAAAAAGAGAATATTGGTAGAGCTGAAGCAATGCTGGTTCAAAACTGAGATGGAGCTATTCCCTTTCACATGAAACAATATTGGAATTTTCAAGGCCTACCTCCAGAAAAAAAGTGGGTAATATTAACAATGGAATGCTCCAGCTTCACATAGCACATAGTCCTTGACTTACAACTATAACTGAGACCAGTATGACCATTGGTAAGCAAAGTGGTCACTAAGTGAATCATGACTGATTTTACAACATTTTTGCCATGGAAGTTAAATGAATCACCACAGTCGTTAAGTAAATCACAGGGTCATTGAGCAAATTCCACACTGACTTTGCTCGTTGGAAACTGATTAGAAAGATCACAAATGGTGATCATGTAACCCCAGGAGGCTGCAACTGTCACAAGTACATGCCCCAATAAATAAATTAAATAGTAGTACAATAAAAGAACAGTTTCCATTTGAGGGGAAGGAGTGGTATTAACATAATTAATCTTAATTGTTTGTCCTGCTTTGAAGACAGTGAGGTTTGTCTGTTTAGCTTAGGATGAAGTCCAAACTAAAAGTTTGTTTCTTGCATCTGAAGGTCAGTCTAGTGAATGGGAGTGATAAAGTAACAAAAATAAATCTTATGTACAATACTCCCTTAATAGATCTGAAAAAGGCTCCCTAAGGTTGCATCTTTAGGAATCACTGTGAATCTACACAGTTACAAAATAATAGTGAATCTAAAGCTTAAAAGAATTTTGTGAAACTAATTTGGTGGTTATGAAATGGAAAATACACACATTCAAATCTGCTTAGGTCAAGGGACTCTTATATTAACATAGGATAGCAAAATTTGTTTCAAAATTTTAAAGTTGGAGAGAGCATATGGGCCATTTCTATTCTTCCATTCAGTGTGCTAATTGAAATTAAAACATTCCCACTAAATATCTGGCCAAATTTTGCTTAAAGCTGTTCACTAAATGAGAATTCACTGCCTACTTTAGTTCTCCCATTCTTTAGCTTCATTCCTTCTTAATTCAGTGCTACTAATCATCTTCATACAATAATAACAAACCAAACATCCAATCTGGATAAATTTTGGCTATTAACTAATATCCTAGTAACTCTCAATGTGGACATTGTGGAAAGAACTGCAACACAGCACTTAAAACAGAGAAGTATAACACTGGCTACAATGCTCTCTTTACAAGAGAGAAGGAAAAAAGGGAAATAATTAAACTATTGTCTTTCATAAACATCTCGTTGTTCAAAGTAACTTTAAGAAAGAAAGGAGGAAGGCTTCAAGCAGATGTTCAGATAGGTTACAAAGGCAGATGAAATGTTTAGACAGGGGAATAATGAATGAGAAATATTTCCAACAAGGAACCAGAAGGAGGGACCAACATCTGCCCTGAAAAGTCTGTATTTACCTGTTCAATTAAATAGCAAATGATACCAGTAATTGGTCATAACATGTTTTAAATAAACTGTATCCTCTTCAGTTTTTATCCTGCCTATCTTCATGGTGATTTTAGGTCAGCCTTCACCAACTTGGCACTTCCCAAATACTATCAGACTACAAGCCCAGAAATCTGTTTAATTGTAAAGTGTTGAGCCTGACAGTTCCAGCATACTTTATGGTATACCAGCTGCATGTGGCAATGCCCATTCTTTTAATTTGACTACATTTGTTTTTAGTTTTTTTTAAGTATCTAGAGAGAATACTCCTTAGAACGTTTTTTTTTCTGTGTTAAAATGTCTATTAGCATAAATTGGGATGGACAACCTGTCTCTTTCCAAATCATCCAGTTATAATTCTCAGCATCCCTCACCCTGGACCAGGAAGACTAAGACTGTAGTTAGCAGCATCAGAAGATATATAGATGATCCACCATTTTTTAAAAATCTCCAGTTGCTGAATTCCAGATGAATTTAAGCTGGATAACAAAAAGTTAACTCAGCAAGATCTATTACAAAGATTACCAATTCCAATGGATTTGAAAATTGCTTCAGAAACTATCTTAGAATTACTTTCTTTTTAACACCCATGCTGTAGATTACAATAAATACTTCCAACATAATATTTTAGAGAGAAAGAAGCTTTACATTTGAACCACTGTGGCATTTCAGTACAAAAATCTGGCTCAACATCTGTATCAAATACAAAAGTTCTTATAGTGACAAAAAGTACTTACGTGTTGTTGAGGATTTGGAGGCGTTCTCCTTTTTTGAAAGAAAGATCTGATTCTGTCCGTGATTCATAATCATAGAGAGCCACAAATGTTGTGACTCCACCTGGAACAACATACATTCACACAATAAACACAAGAAATTAATCAGCATTGTTACTGTATTATGAAAGGATATGTAGTGAATATATTCAATCTTTTTTTGAAAGTTTAATAAACTGTTTAACTGTTTAATAAATTTATAGGCCACCCAATCCCGAAGGACTCCGAAAAATGCTCCGGAAAGCATCTCAGTACATTCAGCTCTATCTGTACAGGGACCATTTCTGTGTATTTGATAACCCTCCTTTTCTAGATAATAAAACATATAGATATTCATGAGCAAATGGAATATTCTGTTTCTCCTTCCAACGTAGTCATTATTCAATAAGAATTTTTGGCAATGGTTTAAATATTGTATGTAATTCTAATGTCTTCACAATTTTATATTATAGACTCATAAGACTGGAAAGGACCTTGAAGGTTTTCTAGTCCAGGGCGAGCTCTAGTAATGGAGCAGGAGAGGAGCTTAACAGGAGATGAGCTTAACAGCTCTTCTGGTCAAGAAAATGCTCCTTATTTTGAGTTTGGAACTTCAAATCATTGGAGATATGAAAGGTATGCAAGCACAAAAATTAAAAACATGTGGTTGGCTATATTTGCACAACACACTGAATGAAGAGATTGGCCTCATATTAAATCAGTATCTTGGCTACCTAATATCTCAGTGAACTGTGCTAATGCAGTCATTATGTAATATGTATCCAGGCTGTGTGCGTAATTTATAATTTACTATTGCACGAAAGCTTAGAAACTGGGTTAATTGAAGAAACCGTGGGGAAGCCTTGAAAGTGCTCTTCACTTTAATTCAGCCATCAACAAAGAAACCCTTTGATGCAGTTCCACAAAATGAACATCGTTCTTCTTCCAGACACTAGAGTAGATCCAGTGCACTACTGTACATCGAAACAGCTGCTTCACTGGTTTCAATTGTCCTCTGTTCATGCTGGCATCTGCACAGAAGACATTTCCACCAAAACAGGGAAAAGAGAATGGGTTTGCCACAACGTTTCAGTTGGAGGCACTAAGGAAGCGCATCTTGCCCCCTCGGTTATCTGCCCCCCAGATAACCCCTCGGTTATCTGATATAACCGAGCCACAAGTTGTGTTGGCTTGCCCAGCCCTAATAAGCAAATTGTGTGAACTTTTGATCACTACATCCTCTTAATCCTAACCCTCAGTTTTAGGCATAAAAGAAATATATTTCAGATGACCAAAATAGTTCTCGTTTAAAAGTTCCTCCTGTGACAGAAAACATACTGACCAGCTAAAGCGCCACAGCGCTGAGGAGAAGTGACCATATCTGATGTATTTGATCCCCCAAAGAGCTTTGGTTCTGTAGCTGTATTTCCAAATAACCGACTAGGGGTACGATGAGTTTCTGGAACAGTGTTCTTGCTGGGAGTTTGAGAGGTAGAGCAGCTGCCATGTATATTTTCTGTGGAGTCCAAACTGCGTCTCCGTTGGCTAGGGTCTTTGGGTTTACTTTTACTGCTCCCCATGGTCCAAGCTGCAAGAGAAGAAGACAGCAAAGGCAATATTATATTTTTTGCTATGGATGGTAGGTTCTTCAATTCTGGAAGATGCAACAGGTTTTCTGACTTGTTGGATGATCAGGTCAAAAATTAAGCCATTAGGATGAAGTGGCTGCTTTAAAGGAACCATACTCTGTTCTGGCAATTATTTGTTCAGAGCAACCTGAATAGACATGGGAAAGCTTTTATTCTGGTTACTGTCTCTAGCTTTGGACTTATTGCTTAGCCTCAAAACACAAAAGCAGAAGCTACCTGTTATTCCATGAATAGATCCTTACAAACGCTGACTGAAATAACCAGGTCCTCCTTGATTTTCTAGGCTTTAATTTCAGCTCCAATAGTAAAGAAAAGGGTTTCAAGGGCAAGAAGAAGGAACTTAAATCTTCCTTTGGATTTTCAAAACTTGGCCAGCATAATCATACGGTCCATTTAGCTTCATAATCTATATATGCCCTAAAGCTCAGCTGCTCTGGATAAAAGCTTAAAGTAGGTTTAGGCTTAGGCCTGACTGAGCATATTATTCAAAGCATCTTTCCCAGAGGGTTGTTGCTGAACCACATTTGCCTATGTAGTACACTGTAACAAGGGGTGAGTTCAACCTCTTCCTGACATGTTTTCAAGGATTTTGGTTGAAATATACACAGTAACAAAAAGAACAGTGCTGTAATTGTCACATCGGTTCCGCCAAAGAACAAAAGACAAGAATTATGCCCTCGTCCCAAGATAGCAGCAAATTAAATCAAACATATTGTCCCAAACCACATCATAATATCTAAGGCTACAAATCAAATAAGAGCTATGCCTTTTCTAATGATGCAAGAATAAACATCACCAAGAAATCATGTCCATTTTTCATTGTGTGTGTGTGTATATATATGTGTGTGTGTGTGTGTGTGTGTGTGTGTGTGTGTGTGTGTATGCTTTGAAGACATTCCTAAGCATTTTGAGTAGTGTCCTAATTCATAGGCTGAGTTCAAACATCAACCAAGCCATTCCGAGGCTTGTTTGTTTGTTTCTACTTGGCTTAGCATGATGATTGAACCTATACATAATCTTTTGCAAATTGCAGATTGCATGGTTGGAATGTAATGTGAGAAGCAAACCAATTGGTTTATTGAACAAACCATGGTTAAATAAACAATAACATAAAACAAAGTCATACATTCAGTCATACACTTTTGAGATGAAGGATTGACAAAGATGATAAAAACAACATGCAATCTATACCCCATTATTCCAACAGATGGTTTTGGTGGAGGAACCTTCATGTGGAGGGGACATTGTACACAAGGATCCTTTAGTTCTTTTATTAGAGACTCCTTCCCAATCACACAAGAATTTCCATGCTAACAACTGCCCTGTGTATTTCTGATCCTGTTTCTCTAACTTTTTGTGTTGGCTAAGTATGCACAACTTACTTAACTAGGGCACTGAAATTTCTAGATTTACATAATACATTGAATCATTGCCTAATCAAAGTCCTGGATTTGCACATCAGGCTAAGCCACACACATAATAAGATTCAAGTTAAACAAGCTTAGTTATAGTATACTGAAGAATTAAATCACTAGGCTTTTTGCTGATCTGATTAAGCATGGTTCTGTGAATGCAGCCATTCTAGGTTCTTTATATATTCCAAGGTATATGCTTTAAAAGCACTTTTAAAATCTGTCTTCCCTTTGTTTAATGACCTTGCAATTGATTTCACACCTGGTTTGCTGGTGATGTGAATCAAACATGAATGTTTGACTGGAGAGGAGGATTCCTCTTCTCCTTGTGCTTGCCTGTTTTTAAACAAAGTGAGATGAAGTGCTTTTGAAAGTAGCCTGCTATCTCAAAGTCTCCTTTCTCACTGATTTGACATGGCATAATAATGGAGCCTTTCCTGCAGCTGATTTTACTAATGAGGACAAGTCCAAACTGGTAGTCTTCAAAGGGAAGAGCTGCAAAAGGACAAGATGACTATTGCAATGAGTTAGATGTTTTCTGCCCTAATAGTAAGGCCTTTAGTATGAACTCTATATTTAAAAAAAACATGGGCAATATTGTATTATTTTAACTGCATTTACAAGCAAGCAATAATGGGATTTGTTTAGTAAACCTAGCCATTGTTGGAAGAATCAGTAATATGGCATCACATTTTACCTCTAGCTAAATATTAAGAGAAATTAAATGACTCCACCCTGCACTTTCTGTGGTGAATCCCTAGTTTTGGTCAGGCATTAATGTGTCCCCACAGCACTTGATGAATGCCTGAAAGGGTGGAATGTTTTGTAAAATAGCCTCCCCTATGTCATTTCATTCATTCATCTTTATAACGGAATATTATAGACTAACGAGGAACATTGGTTTAACTCCTAGAAAATTTCCAATTTGCTGTCTAGATTTAGGACATCAGTGAGCGTTATCAGTAATTAGTCATGTAACTCTCTTTCCCCAAAAGCTGGACTCTATTCAACTCCCAAATTCTATAAAAATGAGAATTGTTCAGATAAGGAGAAAACAAGTAAATATTAAGTTCTATATTTCAGATGACTGCTAAAAAATAGAATCCTTTCACTCCCTCCTCACTCCCGCTGCGATTCTGTCAGAACTAATCCTTTCATCCTCCCCATCCTCCGATGAAGCTTCTTGGATGAGAAGCTAAATGTCTTCAGGAAAAAAAGTCCAGTGGCCTTTTGAAAAAGCACCTTTTAGACAATCATGACCTGGATGACTGAGAATCTTCCTTGATATAAATGTAGGACTGCAATCAGAGTCTGATTAGATAGATTTTTCAGTGGGCTTCAGAATCAAACAAATTTGTAACTATGACTGCATTTATTTCTTCCTGTTGCTCTCAGCCCCAAGCCTCTAATCATTTACTTCTTGGAGTTGTTGTAAAGCTTGCTTCCAGTCCTCCTCAAGGTATTTTTAGCACTTTATCTTTTTGTTAATTGTGCACTTTGCCATTCAAGTGATACTTTAACTGTGTTCCGAAGTTGTGAAGATATTTTAAACATAACGAAAATGAGCAAAGCTCTGTTTAAAGCAGTATACAAATTATGTTAGTGAAAAGGAATAATTCATGTAGGATCCAATCTGGGTCGGTCACAGGGACCAGAGGTTTAGTCTTCTAAGCTTTCAGACTCATGCTGGAGCGCATCCTCAGGGAACTTCTCTCTCGTCAGAATGTGTGATTTGAATTATTTATCTGTAGTATTTATGTGCTGCCTCGTTGTGAATGGCATTTAGTTTTTGATTGGGGTGTGTTGATGGCCTGTTATTAAGTTGCTTTTTCCTTGTTCTCCAAATCCTTGGCTCCTAAGTACCTGATAAGCTGGTAGTAAACCAGAACTCCTGTTGACTGACAAGGGGCCTGCTTCCCAGACTTCAATCATTTCCCTGGCTATTTTTGTACCTTCTCGGCCAACAATCTTAATAGCTGTGAAATGGAATGTATGTCCTTGTTCATTGCAATGTGAGGCTACCAACGAGTTCTCATCTGAACACTTGTATTCTTACAATCTATGGGCTTCCTCCCCATCTGTCCTACAATGTCACAGGAACAATCCATGCAGGGGAGCTGGTAGATTCAGAAAGTTCAGAATCCTAAACCTCTGATCTTGCACCAATCAAGATTGGATCTTCAACATTATCCTGTGTCATATACATATTTGCCTTCATTCAGAACAATTTATCCCTAATGCTGCTATAGCAATATCCAATATTTCCTAACAGATTATCCTGATGGACTCTTCCTTCTCGACCTTCCATCAATGACAGCATCAATAAATGTATACTGTATGTGTTCTCTCTCTCTCTCTCTCTCTCTCTCTCTCTCTCTCTCTCTCTCTGAATAACAGAAGACTTTCCAATTTCTGACTATGAAAATAGGATTATAGAAGTATCATATTTTGAGATCTCTTCCTTAATGCAAAACAACTATCCTTGGAAGAAGACATGCACAACAAAATAAATCTAGGAAAGTCATAACAATGCCAACTTTCTTCAATGCCTCTTTCATCAGTTTTAAAACAGTTGCCAATTCTCTCTGAAAAGACCATGTTAACACTAGAATTAAAGGATAGAGCATAAGCTCCTTACATATACACACCACATTTGTAAATCACTGACAGAATGAGGAGGAGGAGGAGGAAGCTGACTGCTTTTGTGACCTTTCATGCATGAAGAAGGGACAATTCTCCGCTCCACTTCTCTAAGTCAGTAGGACAAGAAAAGGAGGTGAAGGTTGTTAGTAGCCCATGGCTATCAACCCAGTTTATGCAGCAAAGTCTTTGATAAAGAAATAATGCCATTTTATCTAGAACCCACAAGGTCATCCTGACAGGGAGAAATAAAAACAAAAGGAAATCTAGTGAAGCCAGCGTTTTTAATGTGGGGGGTAAAATTTGTGCGTTAATTCTTGCACAAAATTGTGCCCTACAAAGAATCAGAGTTGAAAAGACTCCTTAAGCACATTCATTCTTGATAAGCCTACAAGATGAAGAATAAGGTAGATCTTCTGCCTTAATTTTTTTTTATAGACTCTCCCAAAGCTTCTGAATGGCTGCTGTTGGGAAAAAAAAATAGGCAAAATTGCCTGGGTGTTAACTTGCCACAGAACCCTTTTTTCAAGGACAACATTGCCTTAGTGGCAGGGTGGTCCAGACCCTGTAGAAAATAAGTGAGCCTTTCTCCCCTTTTTTCATCTATCCCATTTTCTCCTGGTCCAGTGGAGGGGGAGGTTGTTGCCAGAGGAGAGCTTTTTTAATTGCATCAAGTACAGGATACTCTGGTTTCGTTTTAATCCTTAGTGGGGTTGTTTTCTTTTGTGTGTTGGTGCTTTGTTTACATATCCACTGATGCAATTCACTTAAAAACACTAAGGGGTGCTCTCTTGAGGGGGGGGGAATGCATATCTCAGTGTATCCAAAATTCCCCCACTATTTAATTATTTATCCTAGGGACGAGAAATATATGATTATTGGCTTTC